ACTGTGGTCACGTACATACTATTATGAGCATGGTTATGCTACTGTGCTCATCAATAATATTACCAAAATCCACGGTCCTACTACCGTGGAATCCCGTGTAACATTATTACCGTGGTAACCGTCGAATAACCGTGTTTTTTTTTCTCCGTGCTCCAAGTCCCTCAAATAATCAAGATTTTCCCGGTGAAAAAAAATTTCCAAGGGGAAATGTAGCAAGATTGAAACGTAGATACTTTCGTGAGGGAACTGAACGACGAATTACACAGCGAAGCGGTGAACAAGACGCATGTGAATGCGGAAATTGAAGACGTTCGACAGATTTTTGTGACAGATTGTGCAGTAGGTGAGCCCGGTGTGGGATTTCTTGTGGGTGGTCAGGGAGCAGGCGTTTTTGTAACGGGCGCCGCACGTGTCACAAGCAAACGGTTTGTCCTCCCGGTCCCGGTGTTTGGCGTCAGCGCTCAACCTCCTTAGCTGATCTAGAACTGACAGGACAGAGATTAGATTTGCTTGCGTAGGAAAATGGCCATTTTGTCCAGTTGCCAACACTTTTTAGTCGAATACACGTTTTACTCATGTAATGCAATCCAAAATTCAATAAACCTACTAGAAAGACAATGGACCACTAGACACGGCACGAATTTAAGCATTCTGATACATGTTCCTTAACCAGAATTTTACGTACGAGGGGCGTTCAATAAGTAAGTATCCCCCCTCTCTAAAATCCATTAAAATGGAACAATTTTAAAAAAACTTGGGCTCAAAATCTTCCTTAGGATATTTTGAGTTCAACGAAACAAACCGCAACAAAATCGGACCATGTGCGGCCGAACGCGAGCCGTTTGAACGCGCCGAGGTGCTCGACGCTCCCGCCAAATCCGCGAGGATTTGAAGTCCGCTACAGGAGAAGAGCTTCTCTGCCAAAGCCTTAGTCGTTCATCACTGACGAAAAGTCAAAGAAATTTTTGTAGAATTCGGGGCTTACCTCACTTCTCCACATAACCAGCTCGATCCAAGCAAGTCTGATACTGAGACTAAGACTAAGAGAACAGCTTTTGGATGCCTCGTGCGTGGAAGTCTTTCAGCTGACCGCGGATGAAAGAGTGGACGGCTTGTTTGACCTCTTCCACTGATTCAAAATTAACTCCTCCGAGTTCAGATTTCAGATACGATAATAAATAGCAAACCAGACCACCATTTATTCCCGTTCCTGAAATCTGAACTTGGAGGAGTTAATTTTGAATCAGTGGAAGAGGTCAAACAAGCCGTCCACTCTTTCATCCGCGGTCAGCTGAAAGACTTCCACGCACGAGGCATCCAAAAGCTGTTCTCTTAGTCTTAGTCTCAGTATCAGACTTGCTTGGATCGAGCTGGTTTTGTGGAGAAGTGAGGTAAGCCCCGGATTCTACAAAAATTTATTTGATTTTTCGTCAGTGATGAACGACTAAGGCTTTGGCAGAGAAGCTCTTCTCCTGTAGCGGACTTCAAATCCTCGCGGATTTGGCGGGAGCGTCGAGCACCTCGGCGCGTTCAAACGGCTCGCGTTCGGCCGCACATGGTCCGATTTTGTTGCGGTTTGTTTCGTTGAACTCAAAATATCCTAAGGAAGATTTTGAGCACAAGTTTTTTTTAAAATTGGTCCATTTTAATGGATTTTAGAGAGGGGGGATACTTACTTATTGAACGCCCCTCGTAGAACACGATTCGCGCAACGAAAATTATTGAAACCAACTCCTAACGGAGATATTAACATTTTTATTTCACAGTGGTTACGAGGAATTTGAACTGCCCGCTCACAAGAAACTCAAAGCTCTCCGTGAGTCAAAGCGCGCACTACAACGGTTTCAGCAAGCTTCTCAATCAAGCAATTTTCATTTCCCACCATGTGTTTTTCAAACTATAAGTAATTTGCTATAGCTGAGCCAAAGCGTCAAGATTGAGGTTGCCAGATTTTTTTATCGCAGAGGTGTTCATTTAATAGTTAGTTCATTTATTAGTTTTTATTGTTTTAGGATTAATAGTTAAAATAGGGATATTTCCTTTCCATTATTGATTTATTTTAATTTGTGGAAAACTTGAATGAATTAGATTTTTTATTTTATCTACCCTAATAAAGTTAATGCCGTTAATTTTATTATACTACTTATATTCTATCTCAAGATTTTCTTTGTCAGAGCTAGTTCATCAATTTTTGGTAGGTTTTTGGTGATTTTTCGTTTAGAGCGCGATATGAATCACGTAGAGCATTGAGTTTTCATGAGCGGGTGGTTTCAATTCACGCACCAAGAATCAAATATCTTCTAAAGGAGTTGATTTCGATAATTTTCGTTGTGCGTATCGTGTTTTATGTGAAATTTTGGTGAAGAAACATGTATCAGAATGCTGAAATTCGTACCTTGTCTAGTGGTCCATTACAGGAACACATCACACCAGAAAATACAATAAATAAAATGCTGGAATCAAAAGGAAACTGGAATTTAGTTTATGAACACATAAGTACCATCTTAAAACAGAAACAACAGATCCTGAAGAAAAACAAAGAAGAAGAAGAAAGCGAGGTCCAACAACCCACCTTCCTCGAAGAAATGCCTTTAGGTGATGCCAAGATGAACACTGACGAATAATAACAAATCAAAAAGAATGAGGAACTTCATGCCACAAAGAATTAACAACAGTGATAACATTTAAGGGGAAGATAATGGGGAAACTAATCAATGTAAATACCACAATAGTAGATTTAAAACTTAGAATGTAAACACATAGGCCTCCGGCTGTAATTCTGTTAAATTGCAGTTCCACCATGTAAAATACCAATAAAATACCTTCTGTTCAAAAAAAAAAAAAAAAAAAAAACCCTCTATTTCATCCACATTTAATTGTACCTACCAATGTAAAACAGTCGGCCCTAAACGGAGGAGCTTCTTTACCTAGTAGCGATATTTTTCATGGACTTCATAAAAATCCTTTTCCCTTACTCTAAATCTCATGATCATTTTAATGGAGGAGACCTTATCGACGGTGTATGTCCGCAACCACGTAAGTATCTCGCTTTGCGACGTCGCAGACTTCCTGTCATACCTAATTAATTAAACGGAAAACTACTCAACGGTAATTCTTTAAAACTGCCGTGATTTTCCTTCTCTGTGCGTAGAAAATTCTGCAAAAACTCGAAGGAATGATGTCGATTTGTTCTCCTTTAAAAAAACAATATGGAGGCGGGTATTTTCAAACACCGCAAATGAGATACGTGGTTGTGAACTTACGCCGTCCGTGCAAAACATGCAAAATTCCAAGCTCAACCGCTCAACGAAGCGCAGTCACCGCAATAACGTAAGTATGCGCCTTCCGTCGAGGCGCTGCATACAACTATTCGTACTTGATGGATGTGCGTGTTGCAGGCGCATTCAATTGAAGGAGTTTTAACTTTTCTCGCGCTCGCGAGCATCCACCGCGGGACGCGTGACGACTAACGACCATATTTTCCGCGTCCATGGTGCACAGTCACAAATCGATGGCTAAAAAGCGAAACCACATATCTCCGTTTCCGACGTTGCAGACTACCTGTCATACCTAATTTGTTCTTGTCAACGTAATTTCTTGAAAACTGCCATGATTTTTCTTTACTAACGCCGTCGTTATGCTATTACAATTTGCGTAAATCGCCACTGGAACAGTACTATTAGTAAGGCGATCCTCTCGTTGATAAACTTTCAAGAAATTCAATTTGAGTATAAACATCGATATAACCAGTAAAACATGCAGGAGAAAACAAATAAATTATCTGAATTTCGAGCAAATCTGGAGCAGGCTACTTATGAAAATCGAATGAGTTGACTGAAAAAGCTAATTTTTTTTTTTTTTTTTTTTTTTTTTTTTTTTTTTTTTTAACAACGATTATGTCGCGAATATCTGGTGCAAACCCCTGGGAGGGTTATCATAAATATTGTCGTCCAAGTTCTTTTGAAGTAACGAAGAAAGACCCGAATTGGATTGCATTTTGCAAAAAGGAACCAAAAGCATTCCAATGCTGCTAGGATTGTGCAACTTACATTTTTGGTAATACCATTACTGAAATCATGCCAAAAATTAAATTTACAGAGGTAACTTTTTCCATGAATTTATAGTTCATTGAGAGTAAAGATAAAACTTGTTTGCATGATCAATTTATGTTTGCAAGGTAAATAAAGTTGCTTAATCTTGGCAACATTGGAATGCTCCTGGTTCCTTTTTGCAAAATGCAATCCAATTTATCTCAATACAAGCTTAGGTGGTTATAAGGATATGAACGGACTAAACGGCGCACGGTGGATCGAGTCAATGGGAGAGGTCGGACATGGAATTTTTGACTAAAACAGCAAATTTTGATGTTTATTTTGTCACATTTTCAATTTCAAGGGGTGCCCTCAGAAGAAAATTTCATGAGAAAACCAATGGAACCACTTTTAGAACCACAAAATTTTGTATAAACGGAGTTACAAGCGTTTAAAATTTCCATGTTTTGTCCGACCTCTTCTATTGATTCGATCCACCGTGCGGCGCGTGACGCTTTGGAAGCGAGAAAGAACGGTTCGTCTTCAATTTTTGCATAGGCATCCCGCACAGTCATCAAGTACGAATAATTGTATCAAGGCGCCGCGACGTCGTATTACACTGCGGAAGAAGGGAAGGACAGTTCGATTTCAATTTTTGAGTCAGTATTCCGCCATCCACCGTACGCAGGCAGCCTTTGGCTTCGACCCATCTTCTAATTTTTAACCACTTCGAAGTCGCCCTTTGGATTTTTAAAAATATTTTTTCAGACAAATTTTCACAAAATTCCACTAGCTGAAAACAGTTAGTTTAACCAAATTAAAGTTGAACGGAACAGGTAGCTAGTGCCGGTGTCAACTAAGTTAAGAAGCTTTCTACGTTCACCCACACAGGGTTTTTTTTCATAATGGATTTCTATGCGGAATGACCTCAGAGCAACGAGGCGAGGCTTGAAATAACGACTAGGAAAATATCATGAATCAAATATTTATTAATGAAATAAGAAAAAGTAAATCATGACTAGGAGAACTTATTTTTGATTTATATTAAATAGTGTTATTTCACACAGTGTTTTATTGTATTGTATCACATAGTTGCAAGTCATTTAAATGAAGATAAGATCAAGACAAGAATGAAAAATTGGAATAAGCTCTGGTCATAACTCATTAAAAATTTAGAAGAATACAGACTCATATCGTAATTTATTCAAACATGAATAAGTATGGAAACAACTACATGTAATTGCCAACTACAAATATGGAGTTAAAACATAGGCGAAACTGCAGAAAGATCGGTAGTGGCGATTCTTGAAAGTTGGCGACACTGTTATTTTCACAATTTCCAACTTTTCGATGAATTATCAGGTTTTCTAATGAAATTGTACAATAGGAAAACCACGTCATAATCTGGTAAAAAATTGATTGTTACCGCTCAATTGGATCGCATTTAGCAAAAAGGAACCAGTGGTGTATAGATGTTGCTCCTTCATAAATATCTAAAAAGTATCCTAAAATAGCACACAATTTTGGTTTTGCACCAGAAAATTGTCAATTTTAAAGGAGAATAACTGTAAATTTTAATACCGTACAAATCTTAAGTATTTTCTAAAAGAAATGGAGAAGTTGCACGATTTTGAAAACACTGCAATTCCGCTGGTTCCTTTTTGCTAAATGCGATCCAATTGGACGTATTCCTGCCGAACGGAACCATGTGCATTGAAACATGAGCCCTGGGATCCATTAGGATAAATGCATAAGAGGGCTCACGTCATAACGCACGCAGTTCCATTTGGCAGAAATACGTCCAATTTCAGTACTTCAGTTCCGTCGATGATAGATTCTATTGTGGACGTTGTAATTTTGCATGGACGAGAAAGTTTTGTTGCACGTGTGGCAGGTCGTCTCGCCAGTGTGGGCTTTCCTGTGATCGCGCAAGCTGTTCATTTTCCGGTAACGTTTCCCGCAAACGTTGCAAACGAAAGGTCTCTCCTGGATGTAGGTCTCGGACACGAATTTCTGCAACTCCGCATCCGTCATATCTGCAAAGAGGGCCAAGAGACGCATTAGCCAAACCTCCACATGCCGAGAGGAGCTCTTCAGCTCGGTCCCAATTTCCATTACATTTGGTAATAAGGAACCACTATTTTTTGCCCATTGTAGGAACAACATACATGGTATAGGTTTCTCATGCAGTCTTGTAGGCGCTGTGCGTTTCAAGCCGAGCGCAGTGTGTTTGACGCAATGCGTGAAGTATTCATGCAGTCTTGTAGGCGCTATGCGTATCATGCCGACCGCCGCGCCGCTCCGTGCCCTACGCAGATACGTGCTTTCATGGGAGAGCGAGAGGTAGCGACTCCTTATTCTGGCGCGTGCAACGCAAAAACGCCGTAAACGCCATTTTACATTTTTTGGAAACGACGTATCATAGCAGAAAAATTTGTGTACCTTGCGACAATATTTATACAGAAATCTTTCGCAAATACTATCAAGGACTTAACAGGTGCATGGGTAAACAAATTTTTATGTTATAAGGTGTTAAGTTCCAAAAAACGAGGGAAAATCTTGATGGATTTACGGTGTTCTTGCTTATTAGCACGGCAGTATTGCTAAATGTGATCCATTTGAACAGCGTTAAGCAGAAAGAAATCAAGCCACATCAGCTATTGCCAAATGGACTATTTCTGCCAAACGGAACCGATTTGAACGAATCCCCCATAAAATAACCCATGAAGTACAACTCTCTATTGGTAGTAATATTAACTAAAGAAATCAACAAGAGATCATGATTTTGAACGTGTTTTATACGGTTGTTTTCAATTCGCCTTCAGCTGCGTCCGCAGCAATTTTTGTTACGAATATGTTGTGCGTGCTGATCTCAGTTCATTGCATACTTGACTCTTCGAAGGCGTTTAATGTGCGAAAGTAGAGCACCCTGTTGGAGAGCAACATAAGTGAGATTGAAAGAATCGATTAATCCCTACTTTGTTCGTTCTCGGACAGATTGCGCTACGTGCGCACAAAAAACGCCTTCAGAGAGTCGAGTATGTAATGCGCTATAATCAGTGCGCACAACATATACGTAACAACAATTGTTGCAGACGCACCAGAAGGCGAATTGTTCAGTTAAAAAAAAAAAAAAGAGTATGAAAGGAAGTCTGCATGCATGTAACGAAAGGGCATGTATTCGATAGACATGAATCGAACAAAGAATAAAAACGTGAACCGATCAACACAGATTCCAAAGACAAAAAAATAAAAAAGCTGATCAAAAGCAGCAGAAAACTTGCATTCATAATGAAAATTTCAAATCGCGGTAGCTCGAAATCAGGAGCAGCCAATATTTTGATTTTTCACGATTTAAGTCCACAAGTACCATAGACTACCCTTCAAACAGTTTTTGGGTACATTTACGTTGCATTATTTTTTTGCTTCAAGACCGCTGTGTAGTCCCCGAACAGAATTTTCATTGCTCTAGAACAAAAAGAGAGAGTAGGGAAACTGGAGGAAACGATCGTTGAGCATTTATATCATATCAATAGTCGTGATGCTTTTATGCACTTCTCTATTTTTCTACATTGCGTTTAAGTCTTCAAGCATATGCAAGTTCAAAACAAGCAGTGAACTACAATATAGTATGTTGATAAGGCGCGTCACTAACTCGTGTATCAACCTGATTAATTTTTATTCACGGAGCCTTTATTGTAAGTAAGTAGCACATGAAGGGTACGTATTCACGATCTTCGACAATTGGACGTATTTCTATCAAACAGAACTATGTGCATTATGACGTGAGCTCGATTATACACGTATTCTTAGGCGTCTCAGGGCTTATGTCTCAATGCATATAGTTTCATTTGATAGAAATACGTTCAATTCATGACGGGTCGTGCATACATTTTTGAAAAGTTCGAGTCGACTCTGGTACGCTGATCTCTTGACAGGATCGATTCCTTTCCCTCTGAGGCGGATCAAAAGAACGAGTCCCTTTCCATAATTTTTGCGGAAAAATCAGATAATTTGGTTTATAATTTGGTAGAAAGGAAAGGCACTTATGGTTCATAGCAAATATTCCAGCAACAGTGTAAGTTTTATCTTCCTATATTGGGGGCTCAAAATTGCTGAACCAAAAATGTTGTACTCTGTTCGAAAAAACTGATCTATGTAACTCTCAACTCCTTGGACTAATCAGAACATTGAAATGATGGGAAAAATTAGGAGTCATGATTTGATCGCAGAAAATTATTTTAAGAGCAAATGTTCCCTTCAAGGAGAACAACTATTTTGTAGGACTTTCCATGATTAAAACGCAATGTTTTTTTTTTTTTTTTTTTTTTTTTTTTTTTTTTTTTTTTTTTTATTATTTGAAGAAAATAATGATTCAATTGATACTGTGGATCACGAGAAATAAATAGAAACATTTTTCGATGGTAGTAATATAATTGGACCAATATTTCAACTTAACAATGAATGACATGAATAATGCCGATGAAATCTCATGGGTCCTCCATGATGCCTTTTTCTAGGTGTATGACACGCGATGGACTCAAGACCAAATTGACCACGAGACTGTACCAAAATACTTAGTTTCTCTTCAAAATTTTAAGCGAAAGAAGGTTACCACTAGTTACCACCCGGAAATTTCTAAATTCAACTGATCTGAGAATCCGATACATTAAAATACAGTTGATATTGGTAGGAATGTACTCATACCTTGACGCTAATTTTTCGCTCAAGTCAATTTTACAAAATTTCAATGCCTTCACTATGTTGACGGTGAAACTACGAGTCCACGGGTCTTGTTCGCGGTGTTCAAAAAATTCAGCTCCCATTTTATTTTTTTGAATAGAAAAGAATTCCGTGCAGTTTTCACAGAGTTTTTTTTCTCGCGCAAAGAACACAAATCTCGGAAGTTATCAAAAATTGTCGTTGAGGAGTTTTCCATCTAAAAAATAAAGTATAACAGGAAGTCTGCAATGTTGCAAACCGGGATACGAGGTCAGAAGCGGATCCAGCAATTTGGCAACACCGAGTTTCCTCCATTCAAACCTATGTTGAATAATCGAATCTTGTCGTACCATCTGGCCCCTCCAAGAATCGATACATTTCCATGGGTTTAAATGGAGAGAAACAATGTTGCCAATTTGCTGGATCCCGTAGTTTCACCGTCGGTATTCTTCGAGCAATTAGCTTTAAAAATTAAACATTATTGAGAATGGATCTAGCTACAAAAAATAGTTTTGAAAGCACTATTGCCTACCAACCATACGTTGGTTTCTGATTCAAATTTTAGAGATGGATGCTCTCTACTCAATGATTATCCAATTCTCATTCTGTCTGTAGAGTGAAACATAAATGACAACTAACTAAAGTCGAAAAATACTTATCTTCATTGTAACCTTTATAGATATCCTATTATATTTAATTTCACGTTTTACACAGAAAACTAACCTAAATACTTATGAAGTCCTTGGAATTTTCGATGAATATATCCGGACGTAGGAGGAAAATTCACAGACAATTTTCAGAGAATCCGCGGAATCGGAATCTTCTCAATGGATTTTATAGGTATCCCCTCATCAACGATAAATTAGCTCATCTGACTTCAAGATTTTTAATTTCTTTGATTCCATCATTTTGGAAGTAATGGGACTGCGTTAAGCAGAAAGGAACCAAGCCACATCTGCTACCACCAAATTTGATCGGGCAATTTAATTTTTAAAATTGAAACGTTTGTGAGGATTTTTGTGCAAATTTTAGGGAATTTTTTCCATAATACGAAGACAATCCTTTCAAATTTTCGAAGAAATCCGCACAAACGTTTTTTTGTAAAAAATGAAATTGCCCAGTTAAAGGCAATAGCTGATATGGCTAGGTTCCTTTCTGCTGAACGGGGTCCAATTGTGAATTTGATGCAGCAAACCCTGTCGCCTGTTCGGTAAAAATGAATGAAAAATAAATAATCTTTGTGATAAAACAAAACAGATCAAGTAAAACAATTGAATTAATTTCGCTGCGCCAGCTTGCTATGTTCCACACTCAGGGCAGCTGGTAATTGTGAGCGGTTCGCATGTGGACTCTCAAATTAGTCTTGTTCGAGTAGGTCTTGTTGCAGATGACACACCTGGTTTCCCCGGTGTGAGCTTTCATGTGATCCAAGAGACCGGTCCGGAATTTGTACCTCACTCCGCAAACTTTACAAACATGTAATTTATCCGTTGCGTCATTCGAGTTATGAGCTTTGTAAAGGGCGGCATTGTGAGCGAGGCGTCTACCTGAAAGACAGAAAGATATAGAAAGTTAGCTTTGACCACACTGAGAAAATGGATTGCATTTTGCAAAAAAGGACCACAATCATTCTAATGTTGCTAAGATTGTGCAACTTTTTAACCCTGCAACTATAGACTGATCATCTAATAAAGTTTATCTCTACCCCCAATAAACTATAAATGCAAGACGAAAATTACCTTTGGAAATTTAACTTTCTGCATAATGCCAGTGATTTTATTACAAAGATTGTAAGTTGCACAATCTTGGCAACATTGGAATCTTCTTGGTTCCTTTTTGCAAAATGTAATCCAAATAGTCACGGGCCATATAGACATACCGCCCGCTCCGGGCTCAGAGGTCGAAAGTTCCGGGTGCTACGTCCGGAACTTTCGGCCTCAGAGCCCGGAACGCGGACGGTGACGATATGTCCATGTAGCCTGTTGCTACGGCTTCTACGGCCGGAGTTTTTATTTCAATGCAATATTCGAAAAGAGTTGGACGAAGGAAAAAACTTTGGAGAACATCAACCAAAATGGTTACCACGTAAATGGATCGCCAAAGTTTTTTCGTCCGGGCACGCAAATTTTTTGGTCATAGAGACTGATCTCGGTTCAAGTAAGCAAAACTTTTGAGAGACATAACCGTAGCCATATTTTCATTCAGCTGTACTCGTATTTTTTGCTGTGGACTTCGGTTTTTTGCACCGAAAACTTCTTTCACCTCTGAAATCGTGATTGGATCACCCTTTTGGTAAGAACAGCTCTTTGCTCCTGAGAGGACTCTAGTTTTCAAAATTTTTCGAGTGCTGGAGAAATCCCTTAAACTCGCCTTTGGGCTTGGAGGAGTCCCGCAGATTCACCTTAATGAGGTTTCTTTGTGTGCCCCCCTCCAGACCCCCTATCTACCGTGCTAAGGAAAAACGCCATATGAACCTTCAAGCGTTGCCAAATATCCTACGATAAAATACGAATTTCCTGGTAAACATGTGAATATTTTTCTTCGAATTTTCCATATAATTTTGTTCGCGATTACACCTAAAGTTCCTAAAAATTTCGAGGTAATATATTCTTAACTTGCCTCAAATATAAGCATTTTATCGAGGGAAATGTGGCAACCCTTGAATGTTCATACGGCGTTCTTCCTTAGCACGGCAGCTTTGATAAGGTGCTTTTCTGGCCCTCTCCCACAGAAAGTTCTTAGTTCCGCCCATGGATAGACAAATTTACTCGTATGATAAATGGACGTATTTCTGCCAAACGGAACGATGTGCATTAAGACGTGAGCCCTGAGACCCGTAAGAATACGTGAGCAATCGGGCTCACGTCATAATGCACATAGTTCCGTTTGGCAGAAATACGTCCTAATGGGTGAACATATCTTCACAATTCGTCGTATTCCATCCGAAGGAGCGTAATTATTCCAAGGTTACGAAAGTGCCTCAAGTTATCATATCTCCAACAGAAAAGGACGGTGCAATTTCTGTCCAAAATATTGCTAATTTTAGCATGTAATGATGGAAAAATACATACAGTTTTCAGTTGGAAATGTTAGACAGTTTCCTAGTGAAAATTCATTTCGCGAATGGTAGTTTCGTAACGCTGAAATTTAGTTACGTTCTAATGTCTGGGAAACGACGAGATGAGAGCATTATTAAAACCACAAATACCACTAAATCTGATCATTTTGGTGCTTATGCTGCTTACGCATGAGGTAAGTTTGCGTTTGAACTTGGCAGAACGTTAGTCCCGCATACTATGCGCTTTACTCAAGTTGGAAAAAAAAATGACGCTTAAAATATTTCGGTTTATTTGAGTTTCATAATGATCAAAGAAAGTAACACAAATATCCACATAACTAAATAAAGTACAGAATCCGTTGTAATTTGGACCAATTGAAAATTATAAAATAAGTGTATTTACAAAAAACAGGTAAGTAGTAAAGGTAATTAGAAAACCTCAGTTTCTTAATAATACGGTAGAATACAACCCTAAAAAGTTTTAATAAGAGCTGACTAACATTGGGGTTTCTCAGAAAAGTACAAGTGGAGCAATTGCGCTGCAAACATACTAAATTGTAAGTATGCTTACATACCTGGTAAAAATTGGCAAAAGGAGCTGCGTTTCAAAATACCATAGGAATTCTTATAGCCGGCTATAGGAGGTGATAGAAAATCATAATTATATCTGGCTGTAGAAAGCGAAGAAAATCGTACAGCCGGGCTGTAGTTTCTATCGCCGGGTTATGCAGTTTATCGCCTGGCTGTAGCTTTATCGCCATCGGCTATAAAAGGCTATAAGAAATTCTATAGCCGGCTATAGAAGGTACGTATAGGAAATCTTATAGCCGGCTGTAGGTCTAAAGTATTTTGTAACACAGATCCTACTACCAATTTTTACCAGGGTATTTCCACAAAATTTACAGCGAAAACGCTGGTTCGTCTCTCTCCAAAAAATTAAAATAGAATATGCGATGTTGAAACACTGCAATGTAGATGTGACTGTTATGCTTAGCTCTTTCTATTCATAGATCAATGATCAATGTATCTATCGATATGCGACCAAAGACAAGTTAAACTGTAAATCCCGTCTTTGAATTGAATGTATTCAATTGAACTGAATTTTGTAACGAGGAACTAAAATTTTTTGCTCATAGATAAAACATTAATCTGCACAAGGAAACTAACAACAAATATTTTATTTCTAAAATGAGCCAGAAATTGCAATACTTAAATGAAAAATATGGTCGAATTGGACCGCCCTCAGCAGAAAGAAATCAACCCAGGTCAGCAACTGGTCAGCAATTCTTTGGGATTTGTCTCGTACTACACAAAAAAATCACCGAAATTTGCACAGAAATCTAGACAACCGTTTTTGTGTAAACAATTAAATTGTCCTGTTTTTGGCAGTATAGCTGACGTAGCTTGGTCTCTTTCTACTTAATACGGTCCGATTGTGACATGACTCTGTCACATATGTACTCTTGTGAGTCTCAGGGCCTGAGTTACAATCATTGTTGCTGCCAGATAGTGGTGAAAAATCAGCGAATTCCCTACTTTAAATCGATGTAAGAGTATCCGTATTTCATCGAACAATCTGGCAATCTTGGGCACAATGAAGACAGTACCTTCTGATTTAAATTCGTCCAATTCTCACATTTCAGATACAAGCTATTAACTGAAACGATCGTTTGAATTGAGGACTGAACCTTAAGATTTGAAATCGTGATGTGCGGTTCGCATGTGGACAGTTAAATTGGTTTTATTCGAGTAAGTTTTCCCGCAAATGGAACACTCCGTCTGACCTACATGAGCGAGCATATGATCTTTGAGCCCTCTGCGGAATCGATATCTAACTCCACAAATGTTACAGACGTACGGTTTTTCCGATGAATCGTAAGAGGTGCAGGTCTTGGTCGGACTATATTGAAAGAAAACACCTACGAAAAACAAGAGAAAAAGAAATATTAGTACAGGAAATAAAATGAACGAAACCGGTCATCATCCATGCAGTAATGATTCCCGCTCGATGCCAGAACTGGTTTTTCTCCATTTAAATTTATGTTGATTGTCGATATTTCCACATTTGACCCTGTGATAAAGTATCGATTATCCTGTTCATCGATCCTTTTCCATGGTTTAAGTGGCAGATCAATCGATATATCGCAAAACACGCCACACCTCTGGATTCTAGCGACGCAACCTACCTCTCCTACGATCGATATTTATAATGGACCACTGGACAAGGTACGAATTTAAGCATTCTGATACATGTTTCCTAACCAGAATTTCACGTAGAACACGATTCGCGCAACGGAAACTACTGAAACCAACTCCTAACGAAGATATTAACATTTTTATTTCACATTGGTTTCGAGGAATTTGAAAGGCCCGCTCACAAGAAACTCAAAGCTCTACGTGAGTCAAATCGCGCACTACAACGGTTTCAGCAAGCTCCTCAATCAAGCAATGTTCATTTCCCACCATGTGTTTTTCAAACTAAAAGTAATTTGCTATAGCTGAGCCAAAGCGTCAAGATTGAGGTTGCCAGATTTTTTTATCGCAGAGTCGTTCATGATAACGTTTAGCGCGCGATGTGAATCACGTAGAGCATTGAGTTTTCATGAGCGTGTGGTTTCAATTCACGCACCAAGAATCATTAAATATCTTCGTAAGGAGTTAATTTCGGTAATTTTTGTTGTGTGCATCGTGTTGTACGTGAAATTTTGGTTAGAGAACATGTATCAGAATGCTGAAATTCGTGCCTTATCTAGTGGTCCATCACTTAAAATGGAAGAAAAAAAGTTTTGCTCACCGGCGAAAGCTGTTACTGTCCTCATCCACTTTAACTTCCTCGCACCAAGTCGTGCTTGGACTTATTTATTAAGCTAAAAGGAACTATGTTGTGCGCCAACCCTTCGCGTTTAACACTCTTCTCTATCACACACCGCAAATGAGATACGTGGTTTGGGTGTTTCATTGTCAACCTGCGAATGTGGCTTCTGTTTTTGATGGGAGGAAAAAGCAGGCGAGAGTAAATTAGACAAGTTGGATTTTGCAATCGCTAGCGATAGCGATATTCGTCATGGGAACGTTAGCTTCTGGGATATGAAAATGTTAAGGTACAGTTCGTTTGTAGTATCTTCTGAATTGAAGGGGCTATGTAATTTTGTGTTGACATCTCTTTTTTAACATTTTTAATTATTTTCTTTGCATACAAGAAAGCTGTTATGTACCAATTATTTATTTTCGTTGAATTATATATGGTTTTCGGAAGTTAACGCATTTAAGTTTCAGGTTCGCTTTTTCGGCGTAAAGTATACGTAAGGTGTCCCAAAAGCACCGGGACTTGTTCTGTAACTTCGAAAGTAAGATAGATACAGACATGATCTTGATTTCATTTTAAAGATCAACTCAATACCTATCGATTAAAACCAAGATCAGCTCAATCGGATAAAAATTGACCGAGTTATGGCAATTTGAAATCAGCGAGGAAAGTTTACGCCTACGATTTTTAAGGAAGATTCTTCATCGCCGTAAATCGAAAAGTCGGCCGATAAAGTGATGCTTATTAGTGTATTTTCCGAAGGAAATACACTATTGCGTTTTGTGTTTTTTTATTTTCGAGGTGTCATTTATCAACATTTTGTACCATCAAACACAACAGTTGACAGTGCGTATTATTGCAAAGTAGTAAAGGAGTTGAGAATGCACATTTCCCGGAAACCGTCGGACTTGAAAGCTCCGTGGATACTCCATCAAAA